AGTTTGTAAGGATTAAATGAAAATGTCTGTGGCTGGTTAGGTAATAACTGCTTGGTATATTTTAGCTATTAATAAGTGTTACTGCTATGTCCTCTTCCATGCCTGCCATTCCTCAATATTCCTTCAAACACCTTTGAATGCTTGCAGTGTGCTAGACCCTGAGGAAATAAAAAAGATAGCTCTGACCTCATAGGATTTATCTTTAAAAAGGAAATAGGTTTGTAAATAAGCAAATACAACAAAGTGCTATTACTTGATTTAAAAGAGAAAAGGCTATATAGGCTCTAGTGAGGAGACGGCAAAAATGGTCAATTCTGAAGGCTCAGAAATGTCTATGGGATTTCTTTAAAAACATTGTCATTGACTTTTGTAAGCATATATTCACCTAATTCAAAAGCAACAGCTCTCATCCAGATGTGCAATGCATAGTACATAAGGTTTTAGGAAATGTTGGCAGTACTTCTGGAAAGACCTGGTAATTCTTTTCTGAATGATTAATTGTAAGATACATCCTAATAAGAAATATAGTTGGCCAAAAGGAGTGGTAAGATACCACTGATTGTATTGATGCATTTTGATCTCAGAAATGTTCAAGTATGAAAAAAATGTGGAATCAATTGTAGTAGTCTCCTCTGGTACTGTAATTCAACTCTGGATCTTACAATTAATTGCTTGGAAAAGAATTACCAGAAAATACAGTCCAGTGGTCCCCTCTTGGGCTTCCCTGGTGGCTCAGATGGTAAAGACTCCGCCTGCAACGTGGGAGACCTGGGTTCGATCCCTGGGTCAGGAAGATCCCCTGGAGAAGAAAATGCCAACCCACTCCACTATTCTTGCCTGGAGAGTTCTAGGGACAGAGGAGCCTGGCGGGCTACAGCCCATAGGGCCGCAGAGTCGGACACGACTGAGCGACTCTCTCACTCACACACACACACACACACACACACACACATACTTTTAGTCTCCTCTTATCCATGAAGGACACATCGCAAGTCCCCCAGTGGTTGCTTGAAATCGTGGTTAGTATGACACTGGTTCAATCCCTGGTCTGGGAAGATCCCACATTCTCCAGAGCAACTAAGCCTGTGTGCCACAACTACTGGGTGAGGCCATATGCACAAAACAATGAAGTAGATATTAAAATTAGTTTATTTTCCTACTTAACTTTTAATAAATGAGAAGAAACACAGTAGTCTGTCTCATAAAGAACATTTATAATACATAACAATCCATAAAGCCTCATGGTGAGGTAGGAACAGCTTTGGAAAACAACGCACAGTCAGAAACATACAAAAAGTTAGGTAAAATGTTGCAGCACTAAAGACATTTTATCTGCATCTGCATTTCATGAGATGATAATTGCATTTTACTGTGCCACATCTGGCCCAAAGGACACCCTGTGGCAGACACAAAACAACTCAACATAGAAGTTTCATAAAGAATCACAGAATACACTGATACACTTCATTGTGCTGTTTCAAGGCAGAACCATAACATGGTAATTTGTGTCTTTTTATATATAACCACATATTAATTGTATGTTACATTCCCTTCAGTATCTTTTTGCCAAAGACACTGAACCATAAAGTTTTTGGTTTAAAAGTTGAAATTGAATGACATACAAAAGGCTCCTGTGCCAGTGAAAATGACTGCTAAGTATTTCAGAACTTGTTAGTAAAACTAAATAGCATTGCCACATAATAGCGGTAGAGTTACATCAAAATAGCGCTGTTATAATTCCCGTTTCAGATGGTCAAACACTGTATGACAGTTTCAATTTAAACAACAAGCCCTCCACCTTCCCAAGTTTTAACACTGTTTTATGACTTAACTGAGACTCTATTAAAATAAATATTTCTATATTGTAGGATTCTTCTCCATATTTGTGTATGTGTGAACATCTTAAGACAGCAGGTAAATGACATTTCATCAAATGATATTTGTTTATAAACAGTAAAAATCTACAACTCAATACCAGTTAGCCTACTAAATACTTCACATTAGGTTCCATAGGCCTTTTCCTTCAAAACTTTCAAAAATTCAAATTAACTGAGGATGTTAACAAGATACAAACATTAATATAGTCTTCTACTTGTGATTTTCCAAGGTGCTCTTGATGCAAATTCTTCCTGTTCAAATTACAAACCTTAGTTACTCAAACATACTACTTTCTAAAATGTTAAAATACACACAGCAAAGTTTCTGAGTTTTTTACTTTTCCTTTAGGTTCTAGTTCATACTTTATACAGGGCAGATGCTCTCTGAAAAAAAAAATTTTATTAAACAATCATATAACTAAAAGGTGACAATGGAGAATTAAATCTCTCTCATCACTAAGGCGGAATTTAGGTTGGAAAAAAATGTCTGGGTTGGTTTAAATTCAGGCACATGCAGCACCTCCTTCTTACTAAATTGAGACAACAGACATATTTCTAAACACATATTCTAAATACACTGATCTTGCTCAAATATAAAAGAGCCAGCAGGAGAGATGCACCTCCTAAAACCGATGCAGTGTTCTAAAACAGCATTTAAATACTGGGTTTAAGTCTCCTAATAATTAATGGAATTTCCCTTATTTTCTTTCAGGAAGGAATAAACTATTTTGGAAAAGACACTTAAATCCCACAATATTTAAATATAAAAGCATTTTTTAAAGATAATGCTAATATAGCTAAAAATGGGTTAGAAAGTGCATTGCAAAGAAATAAATAACTCTGCTAAAACTGAAAAGGTGAGTCAGGGCCCACATGATTTTACTATTATGACAGAAATCCTTTGAAAAAGAGAATCCTATGGTACCACTTTGTTACTTATGAGCTACTTAAAATTATGAAAAGTGAAATAACTAAAATCTAAAGGCTGTTACTTTCAAAGCACTTTGAAAAAAAAAATAGCCCTTGTCCCATGCTTATACACCATTTAAAAAAAACTTCTTTCAGTTGATGTCTTATGCCTTATGCAACCTTTAATAGACCCAATAGAGCATTGTAAAGAAAACCTCACTGAATGTAATATATATTACCAGTTATCCTTTTATATCACTACTGAAATATTTCTATAACATAAATTGTTTTGAGATCTTCAAAAAATGGTAAATCAAGAATGTACATGATATAATTTGAAGCTTTCTCTTGTTCACTCATATGAAATTCCCCCAATTTCATGTTTTAAAAAAATGTTTGCAAAATTCCAAGTAACTACCAGTTTAGGAATTGAAATATATAATATCAGAAGAGTATTAAATGATAAAGATGTATTGCAAATTGGCAGGTTATGGTTTTGGCCCATTATAGTAAATATGAACTTACAAACTGTGTTCCTAAAATTACCTCATTCTCAATGGAAAAATCGGGTGTTCTTAAACAGGCCCATTGCCAGCAACAGGCTTATACTAGGAAAAAATCACACTGTCTACCACAAAAGATCGTCCCTTTAAAAAGTTAACTGTCAAATGCCAACGTTTTCATCTTAAGACCCACTAAACAATGAATTATTTCAAATCCCAAAAGGTAGCCATCCCCAAAGTAGTCAGCTATAAAAGGTACTAAAGTAGTCAGGATACCTTGTTTCTAGAAAAATAGAGCTATACATGATAACTGATACTAATATTCATCCTTTTGAGGACAAAAATCTAGTTTCTTCACAAAGCATTATCCCTCTCTATCAGAAAAATATAACTTAAATACCCTTAAATAATATTTGTGTATGGATTTGAAATCCATACGAACAATGAAATAGCCAAAAACAGTTTCCTGTATAGATACTAAGACATCTTGCAAAATAAGCCACTATTGGAAGGTCTAAGCAATGTCAAGACAGAATGACTTATATAATCTCAATTATTAATTTTGTCTTAACTAATTTTGCTTTTTGACAGTTTAATATCCAAACTGCATTAACCTTCAGGTTTTTCTCTCAAGTCAATGGCTCTTGGCAAAGCACAAGCATTGCTGGTTGGGCTCAAAAAGCTGCTTGAATCCATTCATGATTGGTCACTGTGAAATGACTCTGAAGTTATTTTTAAAACTCACAATTTAAAAGGTTAGATTAATAAGCTTTCATTTAACATGTAATTATTAGATTAAATTAAACAGTCTTCAAAATATTTATCATATATATTTTATGAGTAAACTTTCAACTCTGTTTCTAATGCCAATCTTTCAAAGAAAGTAATGCTGGTGAACACATCCATCTTTCAGGCTACCTTTGTTTTGTTTTGTTTTTAAAGTTAAAATTCTCAGAACAATTTAGATATGTAGTCTGATTATTAACTTACAAGAATATAAATATTTAATTTGGTAAAACTTCCTTCCCTGCTCTTACTGCCCATATGCCCTATTATAGGTACACTAGTTCAATTTAATTATCTGTTTATTAGAATACTCAGCAACATAGGATACAGAGTAGTAACTGATCTTCAGTATCATAAAACCCCATGTGAAGAAAAAAAAAGAACTTTTCCTAATAATATTCATGAGTCATTCTTAAAATATGCTGTCATTATGCTATGTAATGATCTTAAAGGGCAAGTAAATATTACACAAAACGTCAAAGGAAACAGACCTGTTGATTTTTAGAGTTCTAGCAATTATAATTCTAACAAACAAAATATAACACTGGGGGAAAAGAAAAGCAGAGAAATTCCAGTAACAATTTAAATTTATTTATCCCCCTAATTAGTTTTTTACCATTGAAAAACTGGAAATCAAATAGCATTATGTTATATAAGGTTTATACTTAAAACAAAAATGTAACATAGTGTTAAAACTGGCTTTCCAAAACTGTTACAGCATAGCTGTACTCTGCACTAATAAATCACAAAGTTGTAATATAGAACTCTGTTAAGCAGTCCCATTATGTTCTTACAAAAATAGAATTAAACTGTGTGACCAGACAAGGACTTCAATTACACTACTTGGCAAACATAGAATTTCAATGGAGTCTTTTTTCCTCTTGCAGTTTAAAGCAAAAGTCAAACATCACATCTTTTTCAAGACTCACAAAGATGATTCAGGTTGTTTGTTTGGCATTTTTTTAATCTCTATCACAACAGCAGGGATGTTTTCAACTTGAGTCCTCTTGGGCTGCTTCTCTAGATTGTCACTAAGTTCTAAACAAGAAATGCTAACTGATGGGGCCTTTTCTGCATCCTTTCCAGACTGGGCTTGTGGCCGTGTCCCACAACATTGCTTCAAAGCACACTGAGTTCTGCAGGCAAGTTCACATGGGACTACACTTGACTTAGAGCCTACACTAGCAAATTCAGGCTGAATGGTGGTAGCGTGAATTCCGTGATTATGGAAAACGTCTTTAATGATCTTAGCCACCTGCATGTATGATGTCGGGTCTTCACATTTTATGTGAGCAGTGGCAATGATTCTGCTTCCAGCAAGCTGCCAAACATGTAATTCATGAACTTCCTCAACTCCTTCAACATTTCGAAGTTCTTTTATCAAATTTTTGATATCAATTTGTTTAGGAACAGTTTGGAGAAGAATAAGAGCAGACTCCTTAAGCAATGGATAAGTTGTGTAAAGAAGTATACAAACCATTACAATACAAAGAGTTGGATCTAAATATAGTACCCAGCAAGGACCAGCCTCTTGAACTGTTGCCTGAGTACTATTAACTAATTCTACAAATGCTTTGCAGGGGTCAGGTATACACGGGTTCACACAAATCTCCCCTTCAGGACAACCTTTCCAATTAAAGTAAAAGACTAAGGCATTTACTACCACAATCACTGAACCCAAAGCATCTCCAAAGACATGCAGAAAAACTCCACGCATGTTAAGTTGTCCAGTCTTATCTTCATCCTCTTCCAATTCCACCTCTTCAGGTTCTCTGATAAGATTCCCATTCACTTGTACTTCCATTGCATCATTTCTGGACTTTTCTGGATCTACAAAGAAATAAACATTCTGTATCAAACACATCTAAAGTGTTTATATAAACATTCTTGCCTAATTCCATTTAAGAGATGGAGGTGAAAATTTTTCATAAAACATACGAAGAAATGTGCTCAGAGCAATTTAATATAAATTGACATACTGGGAACAGCCCAGGACATAAGGTCAGGGCTAAATTAAGTCATTAAGATGATACTACTTTCTCATACTCCAACCTCCTACCTTCCCACTTCCAAATGAAGTTCACCTTTTCTGTGGGGTCCTGGGAACATTCTATACTTGTTGGCATATATCAAAAACAAAACAAAATTGAATGCTATCACCCCAAGTCATAAACAACTATGGATAAGTCTAATACAAATGGCTGACCTGACACAGAGCTCTAGTCACTTTTCATCATTAAGGTGTTAAGGTTAACTTTTAGACTTTTGTCACTTAAAAATGATGAGTCCCTTGATAGAAGGGGTTTAGAAACTGACAAATCAACCATATAAGCCTATCAACAATCACACAGACTTCAGGAAAAGTTGGAACTAAATGATCACTATCTACTCTACTAGCTCCTAAACCAAACATATTGATCCTTTAAAGGAATTATACACACCAGGACAGCTTAATATTCTTTGGAATAACTCCTTACAGAGTAGAAGTTAGAGGAAATTCAATTGTTTATTAAGCATTTTCAATGTACAACTTCAATTTCATTAACATGATATCCTGAATCCTAGAAAGAGGAAAACTGTCTATGTAGTGTCATGCATGTGTGGTTTCACAAATAGGTAAAAGAAATTGATATTTCCATATAAATGGAAAACAGTGGGAGGAAATACACCAGCCTATTAAAAATATCACTGAGCTTGGTTAGTAGGGCATTAGGATGATTCCTTTTCCTATCTTCTCTTTCAACACCTATTTCCCAATTTCCTTCCAAGAGCACTTAATGTTTAGAATGAAAACTACCCATTAAAAATACAAGAAGCATAAATTATCATCACTTTTACCTGAGTACAATCACGACAAATCCTAAGTGAAATGTTAAAACATGCCCAGACAGGTCCTAAGTCTAGGATTTTCAGGATTGGGTTTAGACTTCAGAAAATTAACCGAAACATGCATTGCTGTTCATAACAGAAACCTTTAACCAAGATTTTGAGTTCAGGAAATTCAGTCACTAAGATCGCTCTGAATACAACATTAAGAAACTTGTTTGAAGGGCAAAAGTACTACTTGGGCAGAGCAAGGTTCCAAACATCCAACAACTAAGGACCAACAGGGGATTCTCTCCGGTTTTCCAAGAGGGTCAAGAAATTTAATTAGGAAGCATTGCTGATCCCGCTAACGCCAAAATCAGCCAGTCTCTTGGAACGACAACCCGTAAAAGGCTGCCAAGTGCAGTTGCGGACCGCAGCGGGCTGAGGGTCACCTCCTGACCTTTTGCCCGCTCTCATCTACACCCCCATACCGGGAGCGGGGGACGCACTTCCCCGGCTCCTAACACCCGGCTGAAAGCGGGGGGTGGGGGAGAGGGGGGCGTTTGTTTCGGCGGCTTCTCCGCAGGTGCGGGTGCGGGAGCCGGCCCAGGAAGGAGCGGCCCCGAGGCGGCGCGGCGCGGCCGGCTCGGGCGCCAGGGGGCGTGCGGGCCACCCCGCCGGGACCATCCCGGGGTCCGGGCTCCCCAGGGCCAACCACCTGCGGCGGCGACTTTTCTCTCCTCACCTGTCTGGTCCAATTTCAGCCCGTTGGAGTTGCTGCTGTTGGCCACCAGGATGTTGGTCTCCTCCTGGTCGGGACCCTGCTCGCCCGGGGTCACGGCGTTGTCGCTACCCCCGGAGCGGCTGCTCTTGCTACGGGCCCCCTTGGCGAGGCCGTGGCTGTGCCCCCCATGAGAGTGGCTGTGGCTGGAGTCGTCGCCAAAGCCGCTGTGGTGGTGAAAGAGACACAGCCCCAGCACGTTGACCACCAGCCCCGCCACGCCGACCCCGAAGACCACCAGCGGCTGCTGCATCTCGTGCGGCTCGATGAAGCGCTCGATGGCCTCCAGCAGGATGGCGAAGCAGAGGCCGGTCAGGAAGATGGCGTTCACCAGAGCCCCCATCACCTCGGCCCGGATCCAGCCGAAGGTGTTCTTCTGGGTGGCGTGGGTCCGCCGGGCGAAGCGCTCGGCCACCAGCGCCACCACCAGCGCCAGCACGTCCGACAGCATGTGGAAGGAGTCGGAGAGCATCGCCAGGGACGTGGTCACCCGGCTCACCACCACCTCCAGGACCATGAACATGAAGGTCAGTAACAGCATGCAGAGCAGCCGGCCCCGGTTCCGACCCCAGCACCCCATGGCTGCGGCTGAGGAGCCCGCCCGAGCGCGGCCCGGACACTCCTGAGGAGGCGGCGAGGCGCCGAGGAGCCGGCGACGGAGGGAGGGAGGGCGGGCGGCGCGGGGCTCGGGAGTGTGCCGCGGGGCCTCGGTGACCGGACAGGGGCGGGCGAGCCCGGGGTCTAGCCGCCGAACCCCCGCGCCTGCGGGCGACCCCGGCCGGCTGGCGGCGCGCAGCTCCTCCTCAGGCGTCCGTTCTCGGAGCCGGCTCCGAGGCCCGGCTCAGCTCCAGCAGCCCCCACACACCCACAGCGGGGCGGAGGCGGCAGGGAGCTGGGGCTCCCGAAGCCCGCCGACAGAGAGCCGGAGCAGGAGCGAGCGGGCGGGCGGGCGGCGGCGGGGGCGGGCGACCGGCAGCTCAGCGCTGAGGACGCTCCAAGCATCTGCGGGTTCTCCGCGCAGGTCTTCCCCTCAGGCGGTCTTCCTCCGGTGTGGCTCGGAGCGAGGAGCCGACGCCTGAAGAGCTAAAGAGGCGGCGGCCACGGCTGCTGCACTCGGCCCGGTGTCGGGCGCCTTCTTCGCCACCCGCCGCCCCCCCCGCCTTTGCAGACGGTTTACAAAAAAACTTTGCTTTGCACTCGGAACCCCCGTTTTCACACGGACCCGAGCGTGACAAGGCCTCGCCGCCCCGCCCACCAGGCCCGGCACGCCTTCCCATTGGCCAGAACCCCCTCACGACAGCCGCCACGTCCCGCCCACCCGCGCTCGCTATTGGGCGGAGGCTCAGAGGGGCGGGGAGAAGGCGGTGTCGCGGCTTCAACAGATGGGGGCGGGGCCTTTCCCTTCAGGAGCCGGGCGTGGGCCGGGGGCCGCGGCCGGGTGCAGCGACGGGCGTCGTGGGGGAGGGTAGGGGGCGCGGGCCGCGTGCAGCAGGAGGGGGAGGGGCAGGGCGGGGCAAGCGGGGTCCCCTCGGCGTGGCGGGCCTCTTGCCCGGGCGCTGCGGGTCCTAGCAGCCCCCCTCACACCTGCCGGGGGCCAGGCAGCAAACAGACTTTGATCCTCCCAGCCGGGTCCACGTGGGGCGGGCCGTTCGGCCGCCGCGTGACAGTCGGCAGCCTGGGAAGGGCCGGGAGGGGGAGCCCTAGTGTGAGGGGCGGCGGGGGGGCGCGGGGGCGCGCTCCTGTCAGAAGAACCGCGATTAGGGCCGACAGACTCAAAGTGCGGCACGTAACTTGTGACTGCTCAACACCGAGTTGAGTTCGTCCAGGACGGTCCTGCGAGGCGATGAATGGAATTTTTGTAAATGTTTCAATAAAGCAAATTACCCCCTATCGCCACCATCGCCCGGAGACCTTGTGTGAAGTCAGATATTTCTGTCACTGGTTATCTAAGGATCATTTAGGGTGCAGACTTAAAGCAGGAGAAACCTGGGTTCTGGTTCTTGCTTTGCCACTAGCCAGCTGGATGACTTGAGCAAGTCAGCCGGTCTCTCTAGATCTGTTTCTTCGTCTATGGCGAGTAAAGGACAAGTGGAGCTCTTAAGATTCCCCCTGACTTTAAAATTCTAAGGCTCTATGACTTAAACATTGTATTTATACACTACAAACAGCAGAACCCAGTGTTGGTTACTATGGGGAATGGGAGGGCAGTGAGAATACAGAAGAATGAGCTTCTGTCCAGGTGGAGGTGAAATATAAACATATAAAATTTTAAATTACAGTGAAATACTCCTGATAAATTGTGCCAACACTACTTCAGATTGGATACATACCTTGCTGTGCTCTGAATGGAGACTAGCTAACTTGAAAGTGAAGGCTTCCTGCTTCATAGTGGAGGGGTGGCTAGAGTCAGAGTGGCCTGAACTGGACTCTCAAAGGCCTCACCACAGCCCCTCAACAGCGAGAAGGACCTCCAACTGCTCTGGATTGCTGGGAGACAAAGACAGTGCTAGCCGATGCCTCGGGGTCTGTATATAAGGCTTGTTTGGGGCCATGTATTTTTCCATTTAAAAAATTATTTCTAGAAAAGTTTTTTCACCTGTATACTGTGTATTTCTCATCTCCCCATCCAGACTAGAGAGCTAGATCCTCATCCATTTCTGTTCTTCTGGAATGCAAAAGAATGGAGGAAACTTCCTGAGGTATTTATTAAGGAAGAATTGACAGGACTTGATTAATTGGGTATGGGGAGAGTGAAAGCTGATGAAAATTTTAAAAAGATAGTTTTTAACCCGACAAGGAAAATATTGCTTAAAACAGGTGGAGAAGTTGGAAAGGGTGTGCAAGGAGCTGCTTTTAAGGAGAAAATACTGAGCCTGTTTTTTTAATGTGCTGAATTTTCAGTGAAGTCTGGATAGTGGCACTGCTAAGGAGTGGGGTGATGGGATTGGGGACTTCCATAATCTTCTCTCCCTTGGTGTAGATAATGGATGTTTGTGCATTTCACGTATATGAATACAGCCTCAAACCTTCAAACCAGGTCCTCCTATATAGACATTGAGGAGCCACGTGTGGGTCAAGATATCCCACGGAAATGGCCAGGAGGCAGTTGGAAGACCATTTTGCCTCCTATTGGGAGCTGCTGGGTCCCTTTACTTAAAAGATAGATTCCTTCAGGGAGTTCCTTGGTAGTCTAGTGGTTAGGATTCAGTGCTTTTACTGCTGTGGCCGTGGCTCAGCCCCTGGTTAGGGGAACTGAGATCCTGAAAGCCATGTGCTGTGTGGGCAAAAGTGAAAAGAAAAAAATATTCCTCCAAGTGTAAGTATTTAATGTCCAAAAAGAAATCAGTAAGACAATGCAGAAGGCGAGGATTCTCAGCAAACGGTTGCAGTCGTTTCAATAACTAAGCAGACTGAATTGGGAAACGTTCAGACCCATGTAAAAGGGGCTCTAGGTTCAAGTCAACTCAGTAGTCACTTATGAGAACCTGTGTGGTGCCGCATTTTTTCCCCCTCTTGTAAGCCACTCCCCAGACAATGTGCTTTATGTGCTCATAACCTAGAAGCGGGGAGGGGTGTCAGAGATGCATTTTCCAGATTGGAAAAGTTATAATCATGCATTCCAGAAAGAGTAATATTTACCTATCAGCAAAACATTTCAATCAAATAAACTTTTCTTCCCACCCCCCAGCATAGTGTAGTCAAAATACTTTGGTAGCTTGACTCAAAGTTGTCCTTTTTTAGCCAATTATCTTGGCATAGCATTAACACAGCCAGAAGTGGGTTAAAATGAAGGGAAGCCATACCATTATTCACCAGTACTCCTGGAGGTTGTGGCCCCAGGTTGAATAAGATGGCTTGACTTTTTCTTCCTAATCCTTGAGAACTCTCCTGACAATTGGCTTAGTGTTCAAACTGACTAAACTCAACATACTTTAAAGATGAGAAAATAATGCTCATTTTGGAAAGAGACTGCCAATTTGAGTGAAAGTCAAATGTTGAACACAAACTTTGCAATTTCAGAGCCCTCTCAGACACCTCCCTGCTTTATCAATGCCAAGCTTCCCCAAATTGGATCTTCTTAGCTCAATGAGCTAGCCTGAAACTTATCAACCCAAAGTGTAGGTTTACAAGGATTCTTGTAAAAAAACAAACAAAAACTGCTAAACACAGACACACCTCTGAACGTTGGTTTTCAAAAATCATGAGTGTTTGAAGCTGTGTTAAGGACAGATGGATGAATAAAACCATGTGAAAAGCAGATTGCATTTGACTTTGGTTGATTGCCAATCAATTCTGATGTTCAATCTTAGGGCAAAAATGATGGGGGACGTCAGATCTGTTTGTCTTGTTTTGGAATGTATTCACTAATTATTAAAAATATAAAATCTCTACCAAAACATGAGGGCCAAAGCTTGAATTTGTAGCTGCTCCCTGAGGGAACAGGCAGTAAAGAAAAGAATAAACAAGTAACAATGTGGTAATAAAGACCAGAAACATCACAAAAGGGCTCAGAGGTATAAGGGAAACCATATGAAAGAAAGGGTCAGAGCTGGAAACCCTACTGGGAAGCAAACGGGAAACAGGAACGGGGTAGGGAGTAGATGTCCAGCAAGAGGCCCCAGAAAATCTCGGAGCTTTTTGTATGTGTTGGTTAAGCTAAAGAACGGCAGGTGAGAGTGAATGGCAAAGGAAAACTCATTTTTCTTAGAGACTGAAAACTGGATCTAAGATCTTGTCATGCCTGGAAATTAAATCTAGAAATAAAGACCCTGACACCTATATAGAAAGGCTCATGAAAAGCATTTGTGAATTTCTTGGGTGCAGTGTTACATAATACTAGAAATTGTGGAAGACATAGTTAGTCAGTTTTAAGGTTTAGGCTGAATGCCCATTCTTTCTTTAGCCCTTCTAACTCTAGGGGTAGGAGATTGTAATTAAAGTACAAAGTACAGAAGCCTAAAAAAAAATAAAATTTAATTTTAAAGCATATTTTTATGACTCTCTTCGTTACTCGTCTATAAAGATGATGTTGACCAGCAGAGTATGTTGAGAGTTTTACATACCTGATGGCTTTTAGAAAGTTCAGGAAACTGGTCCTTAAAAATGACCTATTTTGGACAAGTTATTAAAACTCTGTAGGCCTCACTTCCATATCTTTTTAGTGAGGGGTTCTAAGAGATGGCCACTTAACTGGAGTTATGTGTGTGTGTGTATTAGCTGCTCAGTCGTGTCTGACTTGTTGTGACCCAGGGACTGTAGCCCACCAGGCTCCTCTGTCCATGGGATTCTCCAGGCAAGAATACTGGAGTGGGTTAGCATTTCCTTCTCCAGGGATCTTCCCAACCCAGGGGTGGAATGTGCATCTCCTGCATTGCTGGCAGGTTCTTTACCATCTGAGCCACCAAAAGAAGCCCTAAGATGTGACTGCAGAAGACGATACTGCCTGCCTCATGTTCTCATGAAGGGTGGGAATGAGAGGCTTTTAGGCTACCTGTACTTGGGGTTACCATGAATCCAGGGCTGAAAATTTTAACGTGCAGATTCAGAAACCACACTTTTGTCATTTTACCTGAGGGGAAC